ATGAAGATCGAATGCAATATCCATATTGTGCCTTATAAACAATAATTATTTTTTATTTAATTTTTGGGATAATTTAGAATTATCTAAAAATAGGTATTCTTAATATATTATTTATTTAAAAATATAAAGTTCCTTCATCTTTTTTTTATATGATCATAGATGAGTATTACCTACTTATAAATAAAAAAAGGACTATGAGAGAATGTATGGGAAACTTGGCTGTCTGGATTTCAGACTACATAATGTTTTAAAAATATTTTTGGACATAATATGTATATGATATTTTTAATATTTTTAATAATCTAATGATATAATAAATAATAAATAATTAAATTTAATACAATAATTTAAAAAAAAAATTGGCGCCGGGAGGCACGTATAGCTGCCCATACTAAAATAAGTTGGTAGGCAGTTCTTTTAGTTTCATAGTAAAGGAATTTTTCCAATTTTTTTTATCTCAAAAACTGCGACTTTGGCTGATTTTGATGTTATTACAAATTTTGTTGCAAATATTATGCAACTTGATTGATGATTACATTATGTAACTCTTAAATTGAAAACCGCATTTCACTAGTTACTGCAATTTTGGAGTTACGATTTTTTAATATTTTTAACCCTGTAACAGTTTATTTTACAGCGAAGAAAATAAGCCTATCTTGTTTGGGGTCTACACGTGTTTCCGCCCTTAACACGATAATTTTCTAGGAAAGTCGTAAAATCTGTTTAGTCTGAGGGACCCTTCTTTTTCTCTGGGGAAAACTAAATATTTTTCTTTTCGACTTAAATCTCACGATCATAAAATTAATGAATTGCCTTATAGAATGGATGGGAACCAAGAAATCATTTTGAGTGAAATTAAAAAAAATTGCCGATCTTAATAGCCTACCATACCTGTTGGTATTGTCGCCTAAAAAAAGGTACTAACTCCAACTCTATTATATTGACTTTTCGTATTTCTATATAAACAGTCTATAACATAGATTACATTATGTAATTTTTCGGATTATTTATTGAATGGGATTAGAACTTTATGGCGAATCCATTCAAGGTAAAGGGAAAGGAATAAAACTCAAATAGGATATTTGATTTCGAGCTTTTTCAGAACTTTTAAATAAACTTACGTGCATAGAAATCGGCCCACTGTGAACTTTTGGTTTTAACTGTGTCTCTGAGAATCTATTTATCATGGCAAGTAAAAAATATGAGCTGTTTCAAAGACAATTTAACATGCTTTAATATGAGCATAAATTTATTCAGGGTACTTATCGTATATATGCGTACCAACGGGTAAACAAATAAAAGGTATTTGTGTTGTGGTGACAATAAGAATCAAAAACTTGTCAAATATTGCAATTATTACCTTTGTAATCGAAATGTTCATATTGTTCTTTTATTCTTTGATTAGTTGTGTTTCATTGTTTGATTAGTGTTTCAATTTAATGCATACATCACCGGAAAAAGCCGCCCAAGTAATCGCTTTAATCGAAAATGGACTTAAACAGAGAGCTGTAGCTCGGCAACTACATATGACACGCGGATCGGTTTGAAGAGTATGTGAACGATATGAGGAGACTCGATCCTTTCGTAGTCGACCTGGAACTGGTAGAAAGAGATATACAACGGATCGTGATGACCGCTTTATTGTGTCAACAATGTTAAGAAATCGGCGTCTTAATGCTATTCAGGTGCAACAACAGCTCCGTGAAACACGAGGAGACTATTAGTCAGTGGACAGTAAGACGAAGATTGAAGGAAAGTAACATGACCCCCAAAACACCCGCAATTGGTCCAAAACTTACCCCAGCTCATCGTCAAACACGCCTGCGTTTTGCACTGGAACATCTGAATTGGACACTAGAACAATGGGAACCTGTTTTATTCTCAGATGAAACCAGGATATTCCTCTATGGTAGCGACCAAAGAAGAAGAGTGTACCGGAGGCAAGGTGAGCGATTCGCAGAATGCTGCATTGAGGGGCGGATTGCTTATGGAGGTGGTTCCTGCATGATCTGGGATGCAATTTCTATGACTGCGCGAACCGACCCAGTTTTCATCCGTTGGGACGACCGTCGGCACGGGAGAGGAGGTTTAACTGGTGCTAGGTATATTGGAGATTTTAGCAGTTCATGTAGTACCTTACGTCGACTACATTGGAAACGAATTCACTTTTATGCATGACAATGCGAAGGCACACACATCAAGAATCGTACACGATTACATTTCAGAAGTCGGTATTCGGGTTATGGAATGGCCAGCATGCAGTCTAGACTTAAACCCCATAGAACATTTATGGGATGAGCTAAAACGAAGAATTTGTGCTAGACGAAAAGCCCCAACTTCTATCCCCGAGCTCATTGTTGCAGTAAAGGAACAGTGGCTTAACATTCCGTAGGAAACAATATCAAATTTGATCGAATCTATGCCAAATCGTATGAGAGATGTTCTTAGAGCAAAAGGGGTCATACACATTATTGAAAATTTAGTTTAGTTAATTGTCTATAAATAAATTAATAATAACATACCTCTTAGTAATAAAAACGATAATTTGTTTCATGCATTAATTTAATAATTTTAATTCAAAGGATCCGAGGAAAAATGTACACCGACATTTCTTGGACGGGGCACGGACGGGTTCCGGCGAAGCTCGGACCGTGCTCGGCTTAGCATGAATGTATAAGTATAAATAACATTTGACAATGTTTGGCCGTGCCTTCACCGTCGCACGGCCCCGGCCCGTCACGGTGTACCGTGAATCATCCTTAAGGTCCGATTTCTATGCACGCAAGTGTATAATCTGTATTTTAGTGTCCATATTTTGTATGTAATCTAATAATAAATTATTTATTTTCTACCATTCGGACCGCGTCAAAGACGGCTGAGGTATGACCACAATCGGTTGGTTGTCATTCCTCAGTCAATACGATAATATTATTTAATCTAAAAATAAAATATGAATAAAGGAAATATTTTTATGGGGCTTTTTTGCGAGACCAGCCTAAATTGTAGATACACCTACAGACATTCTACGTACATTATAAACATGTCCTTCTAAAATTTTAATATTACTATATAAATCTACTTTACCTAATTGATGATAGTCTTTATTAAATAACGTGGGTTATTCCTTTGGAATTATGTTTGGCGGTGATTTAGAAACAGGAAAAGTCTTAATGCAACGTGCTATTATTTCTCTGGGTACAGCTTTTTCTATCTTATGGATAACGTGTATTTCTTAAACTTTTAAATCTTAAAATATTTGCAAAAGATTTTAAGATTTAATAAAAACATTAAATGTTTTCTTAAATTTACAATAATTTTTTTATTAGTTTTAGTAAAGATCAAATGGCAAAATCAAGGCCAAGACTCACTTGGTCTTAGTCCTTGGTTTTGAAGGGTCCAGTCTTGGTCTTATTATAACCGTTCTACCATGATCTCCTATTTACTTCTCCGAAACGGCTTGACCGATTTTGATGAAATTTTATATGAATATGTTTATAGTCATAAGGGTGGTCCACCCCAATTTTTTTTTTAATTTTTTGGACAAAATTTTATATTTCAATTTTTTTATGATAATTTATATACTACATAAATTCTGCGCAATCGTTTCTTATGTTAGCACTAAGAAGTAATTTTTGGAAATTCGCCCTCTAAGGGGGTGAACGTTCTGAAAAAAAATTGTCCTAAAAGTATGAACATTTGCACGGAGGTCCCTTAAGTGATAAAAGTGAGTACTCAGAAGCGAATTTTAGGCATTCATCCCTTAAAAAATAAGGGATAAAAATTTGTACAAAAATTCGTTAAAATTGGTTTTAGAAGTACGAAATTCTGCGCAAATATTATTTTAAGTAATTTAATGTAAATGAAAGTTTAATGAAACAATATACAATTGTCTGATTTTTTTTTATTTTTCAATATATTATTTTGAATCAGCATTGCTTCCTTTAAAATGTTATGTAAAAAATCCGAAAAACAATATTTGAAATAAATTAAAACAATAATTTGAAATAATATTTATATTTTATATAAATTTTATATCATATCTATTTGAATGGTTCAAAAAACAGGAGTGCCTTAATGACTGAATATTGCCAACTAACAAAGCAATATTCGGTATATTTCCACTAAAAACCATTTATACGAATATGGGGCTTATTGTTGTTGACAATCCGTTTTTTATTTTGGATTTAATAAATTATAGAAGAGAGGGATGAAAGTAAATAAACCTTATTTTTTTAAGAATTAATATCTATGAAAAATAAGATGTAAAGAAAAGACTTAAATTAAAGACCGCAAGAGTCTTGCATATTTGGTCTTGGGTAAGTCTTGCATTGGTCGGTTTTGGTCATGCACGACCAAGACACTTGTGGTCTTGCTTTTTGATCAAGACCAAGACTAAAATCAGTTCCGCTCATCATTAAATTAATAATAATATTGGAATATTAGTAAAGATTTCGTTTCGATCACATTTTGATCTTTATGTTTTTTAACTAAAAATTATTTTAAAAAAAATTCAAAATTTTTTCAAAAAATTTCGAATTTTCCAAAAAAAATTTTCGCGAAAAAAGCCTCATGGACGTGTTTCTAGGGTCGAATTATACTACCCATAAAAATAATTGCATTTATTTAAGATTCGCCATGTTTAATTTAAGACCCACAGTATACCTGTAATGCTGAAAGTACTATTTAAAGAGAGCTCTAATTGGAATTTTCGGATCTTTATTAGTGCAAACCATACTATAATAATAGTCGTAATACTACTGGACGACACAGGATGTGTATATTTATTTTGTTTATAAAAGACAATGGAGACATTGATAAAATGGTTTTATTATAAATTCTTATTGTCTACCACTTTCATACAAGCATTATAATTAATATTATATTCCTTGAAGATTTATTGCTTTATTCAAATATATTTGTGCTTTTTTAATGTTTTTGTTAGTCTTATCAAAATAACATGTTTTGGTACACTCAAAAATAATTTAGCAATGGTAACTTACCCGCACTGACGACACTCCACCACCAGGACCCCACCTCCAGCAGTACCAGCCCCACGATAAGCTTGTACGTCCAGCCCGCACCCGGGACGTTAACCAAGAAAGCAGCTCGTGCCGGCATTCTCTGCCAGACCACTGTCACCGAAGAACTAAAACGCAAAGGTACCATCAGCGTCGGTACGACGCAGAAAAAGACCGCGGGCGTGTGCCTACGGCGTGGATGAGTCGCGACCGGCTTATCGCGGTGCGTGGGTACTCCATGGGAAACCAACAAGGTACCTACCAGTTCTTATGGGCCTCTATGATAGGTTGAATGTGATTTTTTTTGCTTTTGTTTTAGATTTTAGTATCTTTGTATAATATAATTGTGCAATTATTTTTATGTGCTTGTATACTTTGAATAGTTAGTGTATTTTAGACTAGCGTTCAAACTAAAATCATTTCGGATTTCCATTAGCTGAATACACACGAACAGTTTTATCGATTTGGCCAACTTAGGCCCGTATTTATAGTTGCGTCTCGAGACGCCAAGACGGTCTTGGGCTCTTGAGAGCGGAATCCACAGAATACACGAGCAAACGTCATTTTGGAGATTGCGATTTTCATTTTGGAGATTGTCATGTTGGATAGTTTATGTGATCTGTGGATAGTTTCTTAGCCTAATTTTTTTAGTAAACAAAGTAAATCCGTTTTGTCTGATTAAACAGTTTTGAATATGTTAGAAGAGTTTGAGGATATTTTGGACCATGTGGAAGAAGAAAATCGTCTTCGAGTTCCAAAAAGATATATACGGGATGCAGGAAATCCAATAGAAATGTTTAGCGAGAGGGGATTTATGCCGATATAGGTTTAACAAGGCTACAATTACAGAAACTATTTTACCTCTTATAAATTGAAGACTTGTAAAAACCTACCAATCGTGGTTTACCCATTCTCCCCGTTATTCAATTACTATGATGACTGATGAATACTATGCGAATTGTAATTTTCAGATGGTAGATGAAGATTTGTGTGGTGTTAGCCAACCAACAATAAGCCAGATAATCAAGAATAATGCAATAATGTGGAAGTATTTCAAAATCGCAAACGTTTTTTTAGTCTAAATGTTCAGGTCCCAAAAGGGAAATTATGGATATTATAGTTGGATATCCAGGGTCAAGGTGTTATATTCGATCGAAGTAATTAAGAATGCTAATGGAAAGGCGTGATATTCCTGGTTTACTTCTTGGAGATAATGCATATAGATGTAGGCCATTTCTATTGACTCCTGTTCTACAGCTAGGTAATCAACAAGAAACCGGGTATAACTTTGCCCATAGAAGAATGCGAAATGTGAAAGGCTATTTGGGACTTGGAAAAAACATCTTCCATGTCTCCGAGGTTTACAAAACAACTGTTGCTATTATGTGTGCAACAGCTGTTCTTCATATTGGTTTAAGGGAAAATTTAGATAATTTTGAAGATGCTAATTTACACATTCCAATTATAAATAAAAAGGAAGAGGGTTAGATTTTTGAAGAAATCTTATTCAACATTTTGCAAATTAATGTATTTATTGTATTGAATATGTATATCTAGTAATTATGTAATATGTTAAGTGATGTTCCAAGGTAACTAGTACCTATATAATAATTTTATTTACTTTTCTATTAGTGTTTATATATTTACATGTAACATATTTTAAGTAATTTCTTATAGTCTATTAGTTATCTTAAAAATACTGTTTCTCTATACTTTTTCTTAGTAGTTTTACGCTTACTATGACCAGACAGCCAAGTGCTTGTTTTAACTGGTTACACAGAATTTTCCCACTAATACATTAGAACTAAAAAAATTGTCTTTTTATTTTCATCATGAATATTTACATAAATATATCACATAATATACAATATTGGATGTATACACCGTATACCTATAATTTTCAAGATTTTATTGCTTGGTGTAAATTCTGTATTCTTATTGAGTTGACCACTCTATATAAAGTCGATACTCCATGTTTTATAGTTTTATTTCAAATAATATTTCACAATACACATTCTATGATTATTGCGTTTTTACTGCTTCCTTATTTTTTGTCGTCTAGATGACATTCTTCTCTCTTCTTTTTTTGCTAGTCTGCTAGCCCATAATTTTTTTTATACTTCCTTTGTTCCATTTCTATATGTTCTTTGACCTCTTCTCTCAATTTTTCAGGTAATCGAGTACTTTTCATTCTCTACTGCCAATAACCTTACTTATCCATCTTCAAATAAATCTTCAATCCTCGGAATATATCCAAATAATAATTCAGGTGTTTTTTTCGCCAGTGAATTTATTCACAGATGTATTTATAGCTCTTTCTATGTTCTTAATATATGTATCCCATTTGTTGTCATCATCTGCACAAGCTGAAGCCAGTATCATTGGAATAATAATGCTGTTCAACCATTTATGGTTGTATCACACAAATTCACTCAAATGTTCTGCTATTAAAATGGACACCCCCTTGATATTCTGGCTTATTGTAGGTTGGCTAACACCATGCAAGTCTCCACTTACTATCTGAAAATTAGAAGTCGCATAAAACCGTAAACAAATTAATAATTGAATAACGGTCTTATAATAAAAATTCTAATAAGTCTTCAATTACAAGAGGTAAAATAGTTTCTGTAATTGTAGCCTTGCTAAACCTATATCGGTATTTAAATTCCCCTAGCTAAACATTTCTATTGGATTTCCTGCATCCCTTATATATCGTTTTGGAACTCGAAGACGATTTTTTTCTTCCACAAGGTCCAAAATATCCTCAAACTCATCTAACATATTCAAAACTGTTTAATCAGACAAAACGGATTTGATTTACAAGGGATTTATTATTTATTTTGTTTACTAAAAAAGTTATAATCTCCAAAATGACGTTTGCTCGTGTATTCTGTGGATTCCGCTCGCAAGAGCCCAAGACCGTCTTGGCGTCTCGAGACTCAACTATAAATACGGGCCTTATTGTTGCAGTGCAGAAATTGTAACGAAAAATCTGCTGGTTTATGTCATAAAGGAAACTTTAATTTTGGCAGATAAATTGCTGACAAATAATTTGGAACGATAATTTTATCTAGTACAGCGATTAAAATGGCAGACAAATCATCAATGTTAAAAGTATCTTCATCCATGCTTAGACAGTTATTTAAAATCGTTAGGTTAGGCTCATCTTTTTGCATTTGCAGCTGCTTTATAAGCGGCATAAGGTATAATTATTTTCTCAATAACCATGTTTTAACCTATTTGGTCTGTTTTTTTATTCCCTTGGAGTCATTTCCAATCATTCCAATAATTAATACAACGTTTTATAAATCGTTTTTTCATATTCATCGTAGAGGGATTGAAAATGTAATACATCTTCGAGTAACAATTAAAACGATAAAATTTTCTGGAATTTCGAAAAATCAACGATTACAGATAAATCGTACCTACCAAATTTAAGGATAAATCTTTCTTGACGCTGGCGCAACGAATAAATACTCAGTAAATAAATCAGTCAATAAAACTTTGCATTAGTGTCATCACTAAGATTTGTCTGATTGATTTGTCTTAACGTAGCCCGCCTGGTTGACCCAGGCCGGGTAGACGAAACGGTAGTTTGTGCCGCTTATTGTGTTTAGAGGTAGGCTCCCAACCCTTACTGGAGCCAGTGGCGTAGCTACCTAAGGCGTGGCAGTGCCCCGGGGCCTCAAGCTCAGGGGGTCCTCGAATCCTTACCAAAAATCTCGATCGAACTGAACTTTTGGAAATTTCTCCAATTTTCAAAATAAATATGACAGGTTGCAACCCCACTTTAATCATGACAACTCATTTGAGAGAAATTCAAAAGTTATGCTTAGGGAATCCCCCTAAATTCTTTCTGTAGGTTGGCAGTGTTGTCAATTTGACGGATAGTGATATGTGCGTTTCAATATTCATCGATATGCGTTTTATGGTGAATTCGAGTTAAGATTTTTTTTCGAGAACAGTTGCAAAGCCAGTGAAACTGTAAAAAATATGGTATTGATACCCATTTTCCAGAAAAAAGGCAAAGAAAAATTAAAAAACATTTTGATAAATTAGCTGCTGATCACTGATTTCCAAACCGAGAAAAAATATTTAAAATTGAGATTTTCAATAATGTACTAGACACAGTAATATCTCAATTAGATACACGTTTTATTGGTATAAGTGCCACTCTGTCATATATTCGATTTTCTAACACCAACATTTTTATTACATCTTGATGAAGCAACTTTATTACAAAAGTGTGACGAATTCCAAAGAAAATATTCAGATATAATAGGCCCTAGATTTTCACTTCAATTTACTAATATTTACCACCTAGTTTTACCTCAACTAACTCAAGCATGGACTGTTCATTAATTATGTAAGGAAATAATGAGCAAATATGGAGTGCTAGAATGCGACCTAACTGAAGTATTTACAGCAATGTTATTATTCTTTACAATTCCTGTCACTTCTGCAGCAGCTGAAAGGTCATTTAGCAAATTAAAAAACCGCATCTAGCCTGGATTTAAACGAAGTCATTGATACTTTTGTGAAAACTAAAGCTAGGAAAAAATTGTAAATATAATTGTTATTTAGTCAGTTGGTAGGCCCGACCTTTATATAATAAACCCTTGAATCTTCTCTATATTTCGTTTTATTAGCCAAACCTACACCAAGTATTAATTGTAATTTATGTTGTTACTGTTTAATATTTTTATTACCTGCCCTGCAGTGCACAAAAAAGAGCTTAAGTAGCTTAGCATTTTTAAAGTATTTGTATATTTCATATTTTTATTTGATAAAACCTAATCAGTTTACATACCAGTGGGGCCCCATTTTTGTAATTTGCCCCAGGGCCCTTGGTTTGGTTTGGACCAGCCAGTGGCGTAGCTAGGTCGCCAATGGCTGGAGCAGGTGGTAGCTTGTGTGCCACATGTGGAGGATGATCTCAAGCAAGTGTCAACCGCTTCTCCTGTAGCTCCCGTTGAGTTTGGTCCCTTGGAACTTTCATTGGTAATATTTCCAGTGTCGCCAGGGGGCTTCCCCACAGCTTCACCGGTGGTGCTTTTAATACTAGATCTTATAGTGTTCCCATCAGTCGCTAGGGATAATTGGTCCACCACAGAGCCCCTGCATGTAGAAATAAGGTAAGTGCAATGGG